CTAAGCAGCAAATCAGCATATTAGAATGATTTCTGAATGATCATGTGATACTGCAGACTGGAGTAATGATGCTGAAAATTCAGCTTTGCATCACAGAAATAAATTACATTTTAAATATATTAAAATAGATAACAGGTATTTTAAATTGTAATAATATTTAAGCATTTTACTGTTATTATGCAGCCTTGGTGAGCATAAGAGATTTCTTTTAAAAATCGTACTGACCTCAAACTTTTGAATGATAGTTTACGTATATCCAAAAAGCACTTTAAAATCAGCTAAACATTCCTCTATTTTGACACATCTAGAAATATACACACTTTCTTTTTATACTTTTTCAGCATATGTATGAACTTTATACCTGCTGCAAGTGATCTCCTGTCAACCGCATTGAAAACATAGTAGAAGGGTTCATAACACGCACAGCAGTTTCTAGAGGCATGTCACCCTGCACAAGAAAATCTGTATTTTAGACACAACTTCAGATCTTCTCACCTCTGCTTTGGCACTGATGCCTTGACGTGAAGAGCTCAGTATTTTGAAGAATATGCTCAAGCAAACACACCTAAGAAACAATAAAGAATTTGTGTACATTTTTCACAACCACTTCTCACTGAATCGTTGAAGAGTTTATTTCCACCTCAACAACCCAAAACTGAGAAAATCTTGTCATTGCAAAGTTAAATAGCTAAAAACTGGTCCACACAGCTAATTTCGCTATAATCTAAGTCATGTGAAAGCTTAACGTGAGAAAAAGTAAATGCTTTTCAATTTTAGGTGAACTACCTCTTTAAAGATTAGATGCTAATGATGATCACAAGGCAGTTTCTCATGTTCTTTCTCCTCAGTATCGAGTTTGTTGGGTATTTATGGAGTATCGATGTCCTGTCAGACAAATGTGCAAAGCATCCCTTTGTTGGTTTAACAGTCGGCTGTATTATCTCTATTTATGTCATTACAGAGACCTGAGCAAGAATCAGATATCTGAGATTGCGGAAGATGCGTTTAGTGGCCTGCGCTCGCTCACTTCACTGTAAGTGTTTTTCACACACACATGCAAACATTTTGTGAATGACACAAACATATCAAAATGCATACACCTGAGCTGCACAGTAATACATTTACAAAGATAATAGGCGTGCGCAAATGTAACAGTCAGGTGAAAGGACAGGTGTCGAATAAATCAGTTGACAGGAGGCTGAGAGAATGGAGACGAGACAGCCTCCTGTCTGCCTGAGTGTGTGTCTTTCGGTGTGTGTGTGTGTGTGTGTGTGTGTGTGTGTGTGTTTGCTGACATCTGCAACAGCGTGAACACAAGGGAGAACTTTCATTTAAATCACCTCAACAAGTCAGAGAGAGCCGGAAGACTCAGCGTGCGCATATTAATTTGGTCAGATCTATCTCCCTGCGTCCAGCCCACACAGCTGTACACGAGACAGAGCTCATTTACACATGCGGCGTGATTAAAGAGACGCTGAGGGGTGGAAGATGGGCTGCAGTCTCTCAGGGAATAGGAATAAAGCAAAGAGGATGCGCAAGATGACATAAACACACGACCACACGTTTGCTTGGAAATTAGAGTGTGTTGCAGGAATAGTTCAGCCAAAATTGAACATTGTTTAGAACTCATTCTTTCTTCTGTGAACACAAAACACAATTGCTATGAATGGAGAACTTCAAAAGGACACAGAACACCATAAATTGTCATACAAATAGTCATGCGCTGTATTTCATGTATTCTGAAGCCATACGATAGCTTTGTGACTGAAATATAAATTATTATTCACTGAAAACTAGGACATCTGCCCTACCTCTCCAAATCATCTACCCTGCCTTTAACAGCTATAACATGATCAGTAACTTTACTGACACATTTCAGTCTGTTTCTCACATACAGCTATATCATATCGTTTGACTTCAGAGGACTAGTATTATGTACCACTGTCATGATTTTGCCTGCTTTTTTGAAAAACATGAAAGCTTCTTTAAGAAAGATACATACTCGCTTGATGTGTTGCACATGGGCTAGACATATTGAAACATTGTGGGTTGATTCATTGTTCTCTATTTACATTGTATCTGTGTGTATCTACAGGGTCCTGTATGGAAATAAAATCGCAGAGATCCCAAAGGGACTGTTTGATGGCCTGGTCTCCCTGCAGCTGCTGTGAGTGCTGCATTTATGACTCAATAACCTTCAATGTCAAGATGATGACTGCTGTGTGTGTGAATATGCATTGGGGTCCAAGTTTCACCACTAGTGATTTTTTTTTACACTACCACTCAAAGAAATTAATAATTTATTCGGCAAGGATGCATGAAATCGATCAAAAGTGACAGTAAAGACATTTATAATGTTACAAAAGATTTATATTTCAAAAATATTAAGCAACACAACTGTTTTCAGCATTGATAATAATCAGAAATGTTTCTTGAGCAACAAATCAGCATATTAGAAAGATTTCTGAAGGATCATGTGACACTGATGACATTTTAAAATTAAATTAAATTAAAATAGAAAATTGAAATTGTATTAATGTCATAACATTACTGTTTTTATTGTATTATTGATCATATAAATGCAGCCTTGTTCAGCATAAGAGACTTTAAAAAAACATTTTAAAAATGTATTTTAATAAATTGAAGATTATTTTATAGTATTTTATCTCGATATCATAACAATTTTGCTGAAAAATTAGAATAAAAATGTCTGAATTTCTCTATTTATGTACTTGATATTTAATATATTTGCTTTAATATAAGTAGCACTTGATCACTACAATTTTTGCAAAGCCTGATTGTGCATGATTTTCAGAATGTCTGATTAGTGACCTAGAAAAAAAATTACCTGTAAACATTTCTTTATTTTTGATTATTATTATTATTATTATTACTTTTATTGTTTTTTGTTTGTTTTTTTGTAATGGGACCCCACTGTATATATGTATGTGCTTCACAATGAGAGCAAATGTGTTTAGTGAAAAAAAATGGACTTGTTTTATTATAGGAGGTAAGACATCTCTCCCTTTTTCCTCATGAAAGGAAGAAAAGCACTTAAAGAATTGAGGAGAGCATGTAGTGTTTTTGCTGAAAGAAGCATCAAGTTTTATTCTCGTTTCCTCTGGGGGAACACTCTCGAAATCATTAGCATGTAAATTGGTCTTGATTGCTAAACATGTCCCTCACACCTACTTATATTTGTGTAGACATGGAAACATTGCTCAGACATAATTTCTGCATTTAATGGTCCAAATTGAGGTGAATCTCTCGGCTCTAATGGGCCTGTTGAGGAAATTCTGATGGCTTCCGCTTTTCTTAACGTACACACTGCTGCCGTGGGCACAAAAATACGCTCACATCACCTGTTATTATGCTTCTAAAACGCCATAGATTTACTGGAGCAGCCCGGCCCATGTTTTCACTGTCAACTGTCATAATGACACAAATTATCTGTGTTTTCAGCAATTAGAGTTCTTCATCCTTAATGGATTTTCTTAATAGGACCCTTTCAAAGGTACACCTCTGGGCATTCCACCAATTTTGCAAAGTTAGTTTGGTGTTTCTGTGTTTCTTTCTATTGTGTGTGGTTTTATTCGCTCTGTTTTTCTTTTGTTTTTCTTTTTTTTTTTTTCTTTTTTGAGATACTCAAACCTAATTAGTTCACCCTGTGAGTAGACTAACGATGCATGCGTTTGCTGCAAGACAAAACCTCATTACAATGGCTTTCAGTAATTAAGCACATGACTGCGTTAGTCAATTGTCAGGCGGCCTGAATGGGAGAGACGCGAAGGCGGCTGGAAGTCAGTGAGGAGTGCGTGACATGACAGGAGTGATGGGTGCAACTCAGCAGCTGAATACTCCAGCAGTTCATCGACAACACATTCACTCCGATTTTGTTCAAAGAGACAGTGATCTGTGAACCGAGTAAATTACATCTATAGATCTGAATATGTTTCTGATGCTTACATCAAGTCGCACAGCTTTGGACACTTCGTGGATCCCACACTGTGAATTTCATCCCCATTGAAATCTGCACACTGCTCATCTTTACTGATACAGCGCAGATTACTGAATTTACTGCAACCATCATGCTCTGCACTAGAGGTTTTAAAGCAAAACATAAAATCATTCAGAGAGAGCAGCACTTTCCGCTCAGTCAGGCAAATTGAAAATAAAAAGTCCTTATTGTCTCTTAAGTCTTTCACAAAATACCCTTAGGAAACATGCACTTGGACCCATTGCACCTACTCAGGAACTGCACTGAAAGGGGCTTTTATAGGGTGACTGATTATACATTACAGCCTTCTGTAATACAATAAATAATCATCAGTCATCAAGAGCAGCAAAAATGACACAATGGCAAATTTACAGCAATTAAACTATTTACATTGTTTTGTTTGGTTTTGCTTTTTGGTTTGTTTGGTTCAGTTCACTTTTCTTTACTTTTTTTGTTTTGTTTCGCTTTGGTTTCATTTGCTTGCTTTGTTTTGTTTTGTTTTGTTTTGTTTTGTTTTGTTTTGTTTTGTTTTGTTTTGTTTTGTTTTGTTTTGGTTTGGTTTACTTTGCTTTACTTTGCTTGTTTTGTTTTGCTTTTATTTACTTTGCTTGTTTAGTTTTGGTTTGCTTTGCTTTGCTTTACTTTGCTTGTTTTGTTTGTTTTGCTTCACTTTACTTTGCTTGTTTTGTTTTGTTTTGCTTTGATTTACTTTACTTTGCTTGTTTTGTTTTGCTTTGATTTACTTTGCCTGTTTAGTTTTGTTTTTCACTTTGCTTTGCTTTGCTTTACTTTGCTTGTTTTGTTTTGGTTCACTTTGTTTTGCTTGTTTTTTGTTTTTGTTTTTTTTAGCTTTTTTATTAGTTTTTTTCTTGGCGTCGTTTTTTTTTTTTTTTTTTTTTTTGGTTTGTTTGTTTATTTTTTTTTTTTTTTTTGGAAAACTTTTT